CAGGATGGTCTCGATCTCCTGACCTCGTGATCCTCCTGTCTCGGCCTCCCAAAGTGCTGGATTACAGGCTTGAGCCACTGCGCCCGGCCAACAAAACAATTTAATTCATGGAGATAGTGAGTAAAAGGATAGTTACCAGAGTCTGGAAGGGGTGGGGAGGTGGGATGGTTAATGGGCACCAGAAAAAAAAGAAAAATGAATGAGACCTAGTGTTTTGATAGCACAACAGAGTGACTATAGTCAATAATAACTTAACTGTACATTTTAAAATAACTAAAATAGTATAATTGGATTATTTGTAACACAAAGGATAAATACTTCCAGAGATGGATACCCCATTTTCGATGAAGTGATTATTAAGCATTACATGCCTTATCAAAACATCTCATGTACCTCCAAATTTATACACCTATGTACCCACAAAAATTAAAAATTAAGAAAAAAATTAAAAAGAGGAACATCTCAACAACAAAAAAAGCAACAGTAATCCCAGACACCTGTAATCCCAGCATTTTGGGAGGCTGAAGCAAGAGGATCACTTGGACCCAGGAATTCAAGAACAGCCTAGTCAACATAGAGAGACCCCATCTCTACAAAAAAATTAAAAATTAGCCAGGCATGGTGGTCCATGCCTGTAGTCCCACCTACTGGGAATGTGAGTAGGAGGATCGATTGAACCTGGAAGGTCAAGGCTACAGTGAGCCAAGATCACACAGTTGCCCTCCAGCCTGGGCAACAAAGCCAGACCCTATCTCCTCTCTCTCTCTCTCACACACACACACACACACACACACACACACACACACGCACACGCACACACCATTGTTCTCTCTCTTTTGGATAGGAAAAGGAAGTAGGTGGCCCTGAGTAGATATGCTGATTGGAGGCCCCTCAGTCACTGATAAGGATGATAGCCTATTATCTCTATACAACATCAGTCACACTGTCAGTCCAAGCATCATACAATACCTTGTTAAAAGAAAAATAATCCAGGTGCAGTGCTGCGCCCATAGTCCCAGCTACTTAGGAGGCTGAGATGAGAGGCTCTTTTGAAGCCAGGAGTTAGAGGCTATAGTGTGCTATAACACCTGTGAATAGCCTCTGCACTCCAACCTGGGCACCATAGTGAGATCCTGTCTTTAAAACAAACAAACAAACAAACAAACAAAAAACCTGAAAGAAAAGGAAAACCTTACTGCTCCCCAGAGTCTGCTCACAAGATAGGGAGTTCTCCAAGTGAGAACAAGGAGGCACAGATTTCAGAGCTTCTCCCACGTGTTGGCTACAAGGCTAGAACTTTTCTATTTGTAATTTTGTTTATTATGAATCAGCTTGAAAACACAGCCCATGATGGTGTGAAAAAGAAATTCCACACATGGTAAAGCAGCTACTTGGCCTCAGAGCCAGCGCCAGGCTCCTGTGCGTGTGTTAAACAGGTAGTCTCTTCCTGTACTTAAAACCTGTAGGAGAGAGAGGAGAGCGGGGGATGCTGCTGGCCCCAGGAGAACTGCCTCCCTTTCCTCTTACCTAAGGGTAGGAGATCATTCCTTCAGGACCCTCAGTGTGACACCCCACCTTCGTTGGAATCTAACCTGTCCCCTCCCTCCCTTCTCAGCAAATTCTCTGAACTCTGTCTCAAATGCACAGGAAGCCTCCTTGATTCTCCAACACTGGACACCAGCTTCCCTAAGGCCAATGCCAGATTACTCTCCCATAATTCACTGGTGACACTGGACTATCTGGGGGCCTCTCCCCTCACCATCATCACTCCTCCTGTTGTAGGCAGAGACCAGACCAGATATGAGTCATCTCCTGACCCCCTAGATATTTGACAAAGGACGGATGAAGGGTGAGTGGGGGTGAGAGCAGACCCCATTCAGGAAAAAAGCAGATAGATGGTGGGTTCCTGGGAGTAGGAGGAGATATTGAGATGAGGTAAAGAGAGGAGGAGATACTCAGATTGGGTGAGGGCCCAGGCAGAGAATAGTTTAGGAAGAGGGGGACTCACGGGAGTCCTGTGCTCTGCCATCAAAATGCTGCTGAGGGGAAAAAAAAAAAAGGTGCAATGAATTGAACCCTGCCCACGGGAGAGCAGATGAAGACCTGCTCCTAGGGGGCCAGAAGCCCACCTGCCTCCTCCATCCTTATGGTGCTAGTGTGGGCACTTCCACAGGGATAGCCATTCACGGGAAAAGGGGCAAGCTTGGTGGGGGCAGGGGAGTACTCTGGAGCAGCCTTGGTGCCCACTACTTGAGATGGTGAGCTGACATACCAGACTCATGATGCTGCTGGGTGCCTGGGACATCTCCATCTTCGGTGCCTCCATGAAACCCTCGATGTATCCCTCAGTTCCCTGGATGCTGGGGCAAAGTAGGAGCAAAAGTACAGGGCAAAGCTCTGGGCCCTAACCTGAGTTTAAGAGATGGGCTCCCAGGCATAGAAGTATGCAAAGGAGACTGACCTGTTTAGCAGCAAAACCTGGGCTGGTTTGCTGGGTGCCTGCAGCAGCCGGGCCAACCTAAAATGCCAGGAGGAGTAACCAAGCAGTGAAGGCAGTAGGCCTACTGGCTCCAGGAACCAGTATCATTCACCTGTCCCCTTTTATTGGGAATAACCAGTGTCTGTATGCAGTGCCCACATCATTACATCCCCATTCCCCGGGCTCAGTCCTATGTCCACAAGGAACTTCAGAGTCTACAGGAGCAGGAAAGCTTTCCAGTGGAGGGCAGAAGTCAGGAATAGGGGTAAATGCCCAATGCATGACAGACTCACAGTTTCAAGCCCTGAGCTTATCAACCCTCCCCCCATTTCAAGACTGGATTCTGCTGGTGATGGAAGTTGCTTCCTCCCAGTGTCTCTCTGACCCTAATTTAAAGACCTCTGGAGGGAGAGCAGCCCTCCTCAATATCAGTTTGTCACCCACCCACTTGGGCATTGTCGTCTAATCTTGGGTGAAACCACCCATCACAGCTGGGGTCCATAGGTGGGTTGGGGGCAGGTAGGGAGCACAAGGATAGGATCCCTACCCCTGGAGGAGCCTGCCAAGAAGCCAGTCTCGGGCCAAGAGGAGAAGAGCACCAGTTGCTGTCAACACCACCACAAACCAGGGCTGTGGTTGCCAGAAAGCCTCTGTGTCTGTCACGAGCATGGGTGTCATCATTGAGGGCACCTGAAAAGGAGGCCACAGCCTCACCACTGCCTTGCCAAAATGCCCTGACCATCCAGCCTTCCAACCCCTCCCTGGGCTAGGCCACCCCACACCCGTGATTTGCTCTTCAATACCTCTGGGCTCTCTGCACTCAGCACTTCCCTCTGAACTGCCTTTCCCATAGTTCCACCCGAAAAACTGGGTCTCCTCACTTTCCAAGGTCCACCCTTCCCACCCCACTGAGGGCCCAAGGAGCCTCCTCACTGTGGTTCTGTGGGTGCTGGTGGCCACTGTGCTGGCCCTCCGGTGAACTAGATGCACAATAATGGTGGCTGTGGTGCTGAGGTCAGGGGTGGAGCGGCCTGCATCAGCCACACAGATCAGTAGCTCATAGGTACAGGGCTGCTGTGGCCAGAAGGGCCCCAACACAAGGTCACTGTGTACCAGGATGGCCTCTTGCAGGATGAATCAGTTCTGGCTATTCCCTGAAATCAGAGTGACAGGAGGAAGAGACCATTGCTGGCCTTGGCCTGCCCCTCACTCACAACCTGGTGGTGCCCATGTCCCCTTCCTCCCACGATGCTATAGGAATAGGTCAGGTGCTGTGGCTCCTGAGGGATCCGGCATGACACCTTAGTCACCTCCACACTACGGCCCAGAGGAGCATAGATGGTGAGTTCCTGAAATGGGGGCTCACATTCGGGGGCATGGTCATTCACATCCTGCAGAAAGGAACCAGGTTAGGAGTGGGTAGAACCCACCCCCTAAACCTCCGAGTCAGCCCCTCAACTTCTTCTCACCACAGCCGGAGCCTAGGCATTAAGGGATCAAAGCATCACACAACAGGCTCCAGAGCTTTCCACAATTAGGCCCCACTCCTCTCCAGCCAACTTGTGGAAGAAACCGAGGCACAGAGTGGAAAAACAGAACACCACAGGGCAATCTGAACTCCTATCTTTCCAAGTATTTATTTCCAAAGCCTTAGGACACAGTTACCTCAACCTTGACGGTAATGGTACAGGAGCCTGAGCGGTGATAGTTGGGGTTCTGTTCTTGGCCATGGTCAATCAGCAGGACAGTGAGCCTGTACAGCCTCTGCTGCTCATAGTCCAAAGGTCCCAGAAGGTAAACTTCCCCTAGAAGGGGAGACCACAGCCTCAGCCTGCAGAGCCAACTCTGGCTCGCCGTTTCCATCCAAGCCCTGGGGTGGATGTACCACTGAGATTGTCCACAGCAAAGGTGGTAGGACCACCAGAGGTGTAGTACTCAATGTTGTCATGAGGATAATCCATATCCATGCCCACCACAAAGCCCAGCAGAGTGTGGGGCACTGCATCCTCCTGAACCTGGAATGTGCGAGGGGCACAGGCTGGGGAGAACTCGTTGATGGGTGTCACCATCACCAGTACCGGCGCTTCAGCTGGAGGTCATTTGGCAGTCAAGGAGCTGGCCTGGGGTGCCTATCCCTGAACTGGGGGTCTGAGGAGCCCTGCCCTGGGGGGTCTAAAGAGTGAGAGGGTCTAAAGGTAGGGCAGAAGCCTTCCCCTGCTGGGGATCTAAGAGATATATCCTCAGGGTCTGAAATGGAGACAACCCTGCCCTACTGGATTCTAAAGGAGGAGAGATGACCCTGTCCTGAGCATGGGAAGCAGGAGGACAGAACAGCCTTGTCCTAGGTGTCCAGGCCGGGTGTGGTTACTCACTGGTCATCTGGGGCTGGCCACAATCGAGCACCAGGATGGAGGCTGCATGCTGGAAGCAGGTTCCAGGAGTGTCACAGTCCAGTGTGGCATTCACCTAGCCAAAGGGACTAGAAAGTGAGGTCTAGTCAGGGCCTGAGAGAGCCCTGAGCCACACGGGGCTGCTGCAGGCCAGGGCATCCACAAATATCCTGCCCGGATCCTGTTTTCCAGACTGCAACACAGGTTGGCTCAACAGCCATCCCTCCCACCCCCACTCCCATGGTCTCAGCTCTCAGAGACCCTTGGCCCACCCACGCCTTCCCACTGCAAGCACCCTGCAAGTGGGTCTGGGAGCTGGGACTGGGCACCTCAAGGACTCTGTCATGAAGGCAGAGGCTGGCAGGGTTGGAAGAGCTGTGGAACCACAGCTTGTAGTCCAGGGTGGCATCAACAGAGTCCAGATCTTCACAAGTGAGAATATTCAGCATGGCGCCCACAGGTGCAGTCTCGGGGATTTGGAACCTGAGAGTATGCCGTGGCAGCAAGGCGGGAGTCTGGCAGCACCCTGAGTCATGGCTGTGGCCCCAGCAGCCCAGGTAAGGTTCCTGTGTACTCACACCAGAAGCACTGGGAGGCAGCGTGGAGGTCAGAGGTTGACCAGCCGCACATTCATGGTGAGCTTGAGCTTGGCACTGGCCCACAGCTGGTGCTGCTCAAAGGCCTTCACCTGCAGCCTGGAAACCGAAGTGCCTGGGGTGTGAGCTAACTCCAGGGCATCGTGGTCTGGACCACATTGTCTGCTGCATGGGGTGAGAGGGTCAGGGAACACAGAGATCAGCCCCGCTCCCAGCTCAGTCCCACTCCCACCAGCCCACCAGATCCATAGGCAAAGGAGGCCGCTGAGCCTGGCCCTCTTGCTGCCTTCTCCAAGACCAGGCCCCCAAACAGGAAGGTGAAAAGGTACTATGGGTCACCTCTGGACCAGCCACAGAGGCATCCCAGTACCCGCCCCTCCCTCAACACCTCTCATCATGACCGATGGAGAAGATCTGCAGCTGGAAGACCTGTGGTGCACCCAGAACAGAAAAGGAGCCGGAGTGTGTGTGTGTCCACCTCTTTGTCTATGCCCAGTCCTCCCCTTAAATAGGCAATCTCACTTAGGATCTGCAAAAGAAGCCTCAACTTCCACTCTTTCCCATGATCCCCATGACCTGTCACTCTGCTGACAAGTATTCCTTTGAGCCCCATATCTTTGGGCCATAAATTATTCCATTAGGATGCAAACAGCCCAAGAGTGATATCTGAATCATTGACAATGTGAATTATCATCTTAGAGTTGCTGAAAGCCACCTCCAGACTGCACTGACCACTTTACTCAGAACTTTTTTTTTTTTTTTT